GGAATGGTATAAAAGAGAGTAAATGTTCTTTGAACTTTGCACAATGGATGTTGTTAATAGTGGATGATTTGTTAGTACTACTTTGCTGTGATTGGCTAGTACTCGACGCGTCCTTGTATGCCCTGTGGAATTATGAGTGACAGCTTTACTCGGCTCATTTTCTGGAACCGGTGTAGCATGAAAGCATGGTAATACTAGAGAGGTAGCTAGCTAACAAGCCAGCCACTAAAAGAGTTTAGACTGCATCCACACACTCTTGTCACGGCCACAAAAGCATTGCTACATCAAGATAATCCGCCAATCACGGCGCAGTAGCACTAGCCAATCCCAGCACAGTAGGACGGGACAATGTGGAACGCGCTTGGGAGAAAAAAATGGACGTACAGTTTGAGGAGAAGTGAATACCATGTTCCATTCAAATAGATTTTTTTTCACCTATAGAGCATAAAGGTAGGCCTTCTACTAAACTCCAAACAAACAGACAACAAATCCTTACCTCTGTTATTTTACAAGGAGTTCAGTATGATCTACTTTTGTGGTTGATGAGGTATGTTTGTGTTCATCTTGACATCTCAAACCATAAACTGCCCCCTCCCTTTGGAGCCTGAACATTGTCTGCTTGTGACTGTCTCATCATGTTCCAGTTCAACCAAAATCAACCACTTACTGGTATTGTATCTTCAGTCATTATTTTGCCGCCCGTCCATCCAGTTGATATCATTCTTCTGTTTTGTGGTTAAGGCTGAACAAATTACCCCCAACCTCTCCATCAATACAATCTTATCTGAGTCATTTTTCCTGCCCTGATGCGGGTCTGATTTCTTATTTTCTTGTTGCCCTTGGGCCACAGGTTTGTGAATAGGGTCAACTGAAACCCAATTGGACAAGTTAATCACACCGTATCTGTGGTTTATCCCACAGGTTGAGGTGAAAATGTTCAGACTTATCAATCCTGTCAGTTGGGGTCACCTTCCGCACCCTGATTGTGTGCTGCCAAATTCATTGCACCCAACTGTACCTATGCAATTCCATGCACTCAGCATTCTGCTGCCATTGATTGGCTGCATGTGACAGTGCTGAAAGTAATGTGGACATTGCTGCTGATCAATAAAAAAATGTATGTGCCTAGAACCTAGGAGGCATTCTGTAATGAAATCAATAGCTGTGCTTGGCTTGTGGCATTAAGATCATTGGCCAGGCTGTTATTTAGTCATTGTTGTCCTACACCAGCAGCACAACCTGGCTACCATAAGAAATCAATGGCAGCGTATCACAGCCAGCATCCCAATTACTGGCAGGGCTGGCGAGGAATCAATGCAGCATTTTTGCCATTACCACTCCTTGTGGGAAATCACGGGACATTATTTTTCTTGGGGAATCTGATGCATAAAGGATGACGCCTGGCTGCTGATATTTAAGATCCATCTGAGGCTCTTGGCTACCATTTCATTTGGGCGGGGCTCAGATTGGAATCCTGCAGCAGAGTGCGAGTAAAGCAGGGAGGGAGTAAAAACTCATATTTTGTTGCCAGCCATTGACATGATATGTGATCATAATGTATTGACCACCGGCAGCTCCTGACAAGAAAAAGAATCAATTTCAAATAGTAAACTGGTTGCTGCAGAGAAAGGAGAAAGACTTTGTCAAGCACAAGGTTTGTGGGAATGTGTACAAGTATGCATTAAACTTCCGTTGGGACATTCTTAATCAATATTAGAGATATTATTAAAAATGTTATTCTTCTTGATTTGCTTACCCATCCAGCCACCCTGATGGTGCAACATGATCTTATCCCTACTCTCTATATTATACCGCTTGGGCAGCATGCCGGTGGCAGGCCTTTGCGTCGTATCTTGACGCAGCAGGTTGACGTGTGGTTGACGTTGTAGCACGAGGTTGGTGGTGGGAAACACACAAGACACGAATGCCGGTCTCTGAGTGAAAGTCCTGTTTGTTTGACCAAGAAAACACAAGAGTATACATATCTGAACCAAAAATATGTTTCAATATTACATGTTGCTTTTATCAACTAATGTTGTAACATCTCAAGGCTCTTTTTTAGTTGTGTAACTGCATTCAGGGATTGGGATTAGGCAACAAACCACTTGGTTAGGTTTAGTAAAAGATCATGTTGGGTTGAGTTAAATAAGTACAAAATGACTTTTGGTTTCACAGGGGTCCCAAACTGATTATTGGGTGAAAAGTCACATGTTGACCCATCCATCCACCCGACTTCCTCCCTACGCTGATACAAACATACATTCCCTTGAAACGTCAATGGAAATAATAATTATTATAATATTTTATTTTATTTTATAATAATTATTATTATAGCTCCAAATGTTCTAAAACAATTCAAGTCCTGGAGAATAAGATGGTTAGTATGCAAAAAATGTCTTTAGAAATGAAATAACATATTGATGTTTTTATGATGTAAACTGTTTTACCGAGCACGTTTTAAGCTCCTTTATCCGGAGGTTTGTTTCTAGTTATTATTCTTTTTTTTCCTCGGCTAGTTATCTGCTACATGGTGAAAGTTCAGGATGCATTCAGGCACAGCATTGAGTGTAGGTCACCTGCATCTTGTCAGCGCTAAGAGCCAACACACAAAAGAAAAACACTTGAAGCGTAAAAACATGCTTCGGGTTTACATTTGTGTATCGGGTGAGAGAAACACAAGCCCGTGTGGAATAAAACAGAATCTGTTCTGTCAGATACGCATTAGACAGACAACTGAAAAAAACCCGCAGCTGAGGCAACTCCTGCACAGTAAAGCCTTTGCTGCACAGAACAGAGAAGGATTGAGAGGGATTGAGAAAGCTAACATCATCTGTGAGCGTGTCACCTGTCATTAGCATCATGCCTTCATATGTATCAGCATGTCAAATCATGGAAAACATGCCCTGGGCCAAATAGACGCAGTATCAACATTCTGTTTGTCTTAGGCAGACGCTGCTCACTCACGGCTCCACACATCAGACTGTAACTCCCCTCACAAACGGGTACGTACCCTCCCAGTGAAGGGACTGCACTGGGCTTATAGAGATGTGACAGGAAGAGGGACTGGTGAACGGGGAGGAAATAACAAGCTTGGTCTCTTTATCAGGTGTTTTTGCACGCTTTTCAAAGCACCTCATGCTGGTAAGACGTGGCTCTTTGTTTAAGCTCAGACTGAGTGTTTCAAGCGTCTCGAAACACACCGACGTGACACACGTTTGATTAAAGGGAAATGACAGCAAAGTTTGAGACAAAAGCGTTCTTGACTTGACGCAGCTGAATTCTAGCCACAGACTGGAGACAGGAGCTCGGCTTTGATGGGAGGGTGAAGAACAGAGAGGAGAGAGGCAGCAGTGGTATCCACTGGGGGGGATATTAGGGGGGCATATCGTGAGAATGAATGTATTTCCTGATATAAACTTTTTCACCCAAAATGGTCATGATCTCAACAAAATAATGATTTTGTGGAGGATCGAGAGAGCTGCAAGTCTACTGAAAATGTATTTTTGGTCATCATTTTCTAATACTCAATAAGCCCTTCTGCAGCGTTGTGAAACTGATATACTGCATGGGCTCATCCCACGACAGTGTATCTACAATGTTGTTTAAAAAGAGTCCCATGTTAAAGACCTGTGAGCGCTCTGAGTGCACTGACGCCTGGTCTCTTCAAATGTGGTATGAATTATATGCCTTCAGCCATTTTGTGTGTTGTCTCCAGACATTCTTTGCTTTTCACATGTAATTTCATACATTTCATGATATTATATTTTTCTCATCTTCTAGAAAGAGAAATTAGTGAGCAGAGACTTTATCTGTGGTTATTAAACCACTTGTTTCAGCTCTATTCCTCTCTGTTAACATCATTGTTGGTCAGTGAATTCATGTGTTTTGGGCTCTTAGGTTTATTATCTGTGTCTTTTTTATTTCAGACGTTTGCTCCATATGCGAGGTACTGTTTTTAAGCTTCCCGTGGGAAGAATTCACTGATACGAGTCTATCAAGTCTTGTTGAAGACTCTGGTCTCTCTGGCAATTATTCCCTTTTTGGAGCTCGTCCTGTGATTTGGCTTTTTCAACTCACATAATAATTGTCCTGCTCTGCTTTCTTTTTCCTCGTCTCCCCCGTGTGTCACGGTGTGTGTACATCTCACTCGAGTCAGGAAACTTGTCAGAAAACCCATATTTGATTGGCTGAGCTGCATCACGTGATGTGATTTACAACAAGTAAATGCTGGAAAAGCTGCGCCGGTTCAAATAGAAGCGCTCCGTCAAAATGTAATAATTCTCAATTATCTATGGGTTTTAGGTCCTGGGTCCAGATACAACGGCGTCTGGGTCCAGATCCGGACCGCGGTCCGCCAGTTAGTGACCCCTGCCGTACGGGTTCTTTAGGATAAACTGGTCACCCCCTGACACATTTTAGAATTGGGACAAATTTCTGCCAAAACAGTTCTGATTTGTAGTTTTAGGTCATAAAGCCTGAGTAATTACCTGAATTATCACCAGGCTATCTTTTAATTTGAGCAGTTCCACGGTCTGATTTTGACTGTTGTGATATAAAACTGAACTTCACTGCAGAAGTCTGAATCTTCAGCCAATTTCTATGTTATTATTTTTTCTTCTGACTTTATTTTCATAGTAGAATTACACAAAGAAAAGCTGTCATTCTCTCTTTTTGTCAACATTTGGGACACGGTCGGACGGGCCTTGTTTAGGTTGAGTGTGAGCTGTACGTGGTGGCCGGTCAATTGATCCGTACATTGTGTGGATACAAATCACAGATTAAAACATGTGTGTGTAAAACATGTAAACAAAATGAATACAAGTCTGTCAAGTTGTACACCTGATGTACTTCTACTCTCAAGTCATTATCCTAGAAAATAACTTGTATTTATGCTGGGCATTGGGCTGGTGTTAGTGTTTGTAGTGGAATGAATGCATGCAGTCCTCATAAGTATAGAAAAACAGTAACACTCCCACATAGAGGAAGTGTTGTGCTGCAGTCGTAGTTGTCCCGCCCCCTGAGCTTCTGGGTGAGGGTTCAGTTTGTTTTTCAGCAACAGAAGCAGACTTGCTCCTCTTTTGCAGAGTCACCACAGGGCGTAAGTAGAGCTGCTAGACTGTAAATTATACTGAATATCATAATGTATACAATGATCATTTATACATTTTTGTCTCCTTCAAAGTTGTTTTGTCACTTGATCCTTAAACCGATTCGGTGCATATTGATTTTTACTGTATTGTGTTCTCCACTTTAGAGGTGTGAGGCAGAACTACACTGATCACATTTCTAGAATCTTTTTAATACTGAACTTTTGTCCAAGTTTAAAGACTTTTTAGCAGCAGGAGTTCTTTTTTCCATGTTGTTTCTTATCTTTGCCGAAACAGAATTTAAAACAAATCCTGTCTCTTTCTCCCTATGGTTCAGTTGTAAACCAGCAGATATGTCATCCATGATGGAAGATGAGGTATTTATGGCTTTCACCACCTATGCAGCTATTGTCATTCTGAAGATGTTGCTGATGGCACCTATGACAGCATTCTTTCGCATTTCCAGGGGGGTAGGTCATCTGTTTTACATTCGTTTTCATGAGAGGTGATAGGTACCTTTCTTCAAAGGTCATGTACAAAGCCGAAGGCACAACCCAGGTTGTAAAAGAGAAAAGCAACAACTTAATAAGAAATCTCCTCATGCATGTCAACATTATAATATGGAACTTTTCAAGCTAACTTCTGCTCAGGGTAAACACTCATTTAGGCTTTCTCTCATTCAGGCTTTCGTGAATGAGGAAGACGTGGCCTTAAAGCCTTCAGAGGAGAGGAAGAAGCTGCTCAAAAGCCACCCGGATGTAGAGCGAGTTCGAAGGTGAGATGATTGATCCCTTACACTTGAAGTTATGATTCACACACTGGTATTTTATTAGAAATAGAATCCACAAAACAGATAAATACCGGCTCGCATTCTAGAAAAGGCTGAGAGATCCTGGTTCAGTTAATCACAGCAAGCTAAACCATAACGTAATATAATAAAAGGACAAGAATAGTAAATATTACAAACTAATAATACAAATCCTACGGTTATGAGTGCGACACCGTGCCTCTCACCCAGCGCATGCTCGGCTCCAGAACCCCTGAAATAAATACTGGATATGCAGGTCTAGAAAACTGCAGTACCTGCAAACAATTTGCACTCATGAAATAAACTCACAGAACACTGATAGGGTGAAGATAAGTATCTCCCTGAAGAAAGGATACAGTTAATTATTATACTACTCCAAGGACAAGGGAACCACATATGATTAGCTCTCTGTGCTGCATACGAGATGGTCAATTATCCAAACCAGGGGTCTTCAACGTGTTTCAGGCCAAGGACCCCCAAACTGATAGAGAGATGGAGCAGGGACCCCCGACTATATATATTGTATAAAATTGTGTTTTATATTAAACTGGGCCTAGTGCCATGTATAAACATACCTCTTTATTGTGCATTCAATACTAAGCTATTCAAAAAATACACAGGTTCATATATTCATGTTTTTATATTAAACATGTGCAAGGCACAGTGAGTAGGGAGGCCGTGCCACTGCCTTTTATAAACACACCTTGTCAACTGATACCAATGCCAATATCAACATTGTCTGTCAATAGCATGATAATCATGCATACAAGCTATTCAAATAGATGTTTTCATTTTAAACATAAATGTGGAAACGAAAATGAGTGATGGCCTATTAGTGCCACTGCCATGCATAAACATACCTGTTATCTTTCATACAATACTGAACTATTAAAATAATGGACACATTCATGTTTTTTGATCGAGATACAAAACGATCCATTTTCGCTCATAACAATGTCCAAACACTCATAATAATATACTGGCCTCAGTAGTTGCTGTTGTGGAATGGAGCTGCACTGTTTTAGCAGGAATATCTTGCACAAATGATTGCACAAAGATTCGTGGGTGAAGTAAATGTCGTTTTTTAATTAAAAAAAAAAAAGGGTATCATCTTTTCAAATAATATTGCAGCGTGCGTCCTTGTGTCTGGGATCTTAGTCAGCTGGGGACTGAATAGGCTCTTGGTCAATCACGGGAACCTGACAGAGCCAGCATGTAACTTGCAGCCTCGTGATTGGCACAGCAGCGATAGGGGCGGGTCCTCCTCTTTGTGTGCAGGAGGCTTGGAGGGACAGGTCCAGGCTAGTCTCGCTCTGTGTGTGATCCTGTGCCCAGCTTGAGAGAGCTCCTGTGTGTCGCTGAGTGTGTGCATTTCTGACTGAAAGAGAACATCTTCTGCCTCCATTTATTCATTCGCTACAATATGTTGGATTCATGTTAATGTGTATTTAAAGACATTTAAATTTGTGGGAAAAAAGAAGAAAAAAAAGAAAAATCGTCTAATCAACCAGAAATTTCACGACCCCCCTGTTGAAGACCTCTGATCCAAACAATTATGGATACTGATTGATAGACGTTCCCTGTTTCCGTTCTCTAGATGTCACCAGAACGACCTGGAGAACGTCGTTCCCTTCGTGCTGATCGGCCTGCTCTACGCTCTGACTGGACCTGAGCTCTCAGCCGCTCTGCTTCACTTCCGCGTCTTTGCCGGCAGTCGGATCTTCCACACCATCGCCTATGTCGGCGCTCTTCCTCAGCCCAGCAGGGGACTGTCCTGGATAATTGGCTTTCTTGTCACCATCTCCATGTCTTACAGGGTGCTCAGCAAAGTTCTAGTCCTTTAGAGACGATATTGGTCCAGCTTCTTCACAAGCTCACATTCCTACATGAAGCCTGTTTTTTACTTCACTCTTGCTGCAGCTATCTATGAGCTTAATTATTAAACATCATTTTCACTTCATCTTTGCATTCCCTCGAACTATTGTCTCAGATGAAAATGTGTTTTAATAAACTTTTCCACTAGCTTTGTGTCTGGGTAATAACTTCTCAAGGTGATAAAACTCAAATGCAACTATGAATTATTTAAAGTACAGGCGTTAAATCTGGCAGTGGCAAAGAAGGTCATTCATATAAAATGTTTTAAAAGTAAGATCCACCCAGTTCCTTAAAACACAACAGCCTGTCTTATGCAATATTCAGACGTTAATGTGACTTTGAATGTAGCCAGCAAACATAAGAATTATTTCAATATATTCACTTTGAAGTGGTTGAAAGGTGCGGGTACCAGTGTATAATATATCTGAGGCTGTCATCGAAACCTAACAGGAAGTGTTATTTCAGGTCAGGGCCGCTCCCACAGATTAGACAACCTCAGGATACATTCCACACATTCTGATCTTTGGTCTAGTTTTTGCTTTTCACGATGACTGTGCAAAAAACCAAAGGGGAGATGCACATGCTGCATACTATGGTAGATGGTCTGTACTTGTATATTCCTTTTCTAGTCTTCTGACCACTCAAAGTGATTTAACACTACATGTCATCAGTCACACATTCATACACTGAATGTAATGTAAACCGTGTAATGCTCTGTGAGTAAGAAGGATCATTTTAAAGTGGCACCTATACGCCACAGGGAGCCAGTGAAGAGATCTGAGCATGTGGCTCATCATTCTGGATTAACCGCAGACTGTCAAGAGCAGACAGACTGAGTGAGGACATAAGTGTGTTTCAGTGGGCAATGCAAGAAATGATAAAGATAAAAAGCGACAAAGCCCATATAGGAAAGAGGTTGGGTTGGATGGATGGGTCAAACAAACATAGGACTTAGAGACCACTGTGAGTGTCCTGTGTGAAACCAAAAGTCATTTATAACTGATTATTACATTTGTAGGGAAACACACAAAAACTATCAAATAACTTTTTGTGAGAACGGGCCGTTGTACTCATACAAGGGTTCGTATGATATCTTACGAAAGTCCAGCAACACGTGTCAATTTACGCTCGTTACATGAATACGATTTTTTCAAAATAAACTCCCGTCTTCACAGGAAACTCAGTTAGCTTTAAGCAACAAAACCACTTGGTTAGGTTCAGGCAACACAACTACATAGTCAGGTTTAGGAATAGATCGTGAAATATTTAGTTAGATTCAGGAAAAGATCACCGTTTGTGTAAATAATAACTAAGTGCTCTCACTGAAGTAGGCAACAAAAACATCAACGTTGACTTCTCGTTTCACACGGAACGAACAGCGGTGTCCTGGCTGAAAGATCACTGGTAGTTACATCTATCTCCCCTCCCGCCTGCCCGTGGTGTGTTTTAGAGGTCTACTACCTCATTAATGATTTTGTGGATAACCTAAGAAATAATTTGATTGGGATATACAGTATATACAGATTCTGGCACATTATGTGGTGTAGTTTTTGTTACGAATGCTGGATGAGACCAGTCGGAATGAGGATATTAAAATCATTGTGGTGTTAAATATGAACAATATACTGTGCTGTCCAAAAGCGCTGATGGTAATTGTATTCCCTAGTGCTATATTAACTGAGAAAGCTGACCTTTCTACTGCTCCTACATGTACAAGGATACGTTGCATGCGAGCACTGATTTTGCTGAAACTGATAAATACACACAAAAAACCTCACAAAATGTCAATATAGGAAATATTCTTACACCTAAACTAAAACAAATACACCTTCTGAATTCAAGTTTCTCTTTTACACAGAACTAAGACAGGGTTAATTGCCTTGTAAACTCATCATAAAACACTCTTCATTCAAACTGGACAGAAACAAAATAAAAATCACCAAACACGTCTTGCTGTCTTTCCACTATTCCAACAATCTGCAATTCTGGTTTGGTCGAAATAAATCCTTTATTCACAGAGCAAGATGTACAAATATGTCGGTTCCCTTGGAGGCAGAACATAAAATGAGTTGTACTGTTCGTAGCTAAAATCAATGCGCTACAATTAGTATATAACTAATAATATAACAAAAGGTGACGTAGTATGAAGGTTAACAAAGTCTGCATAGATGACTTTCACACAGGACACCGCTGTTCATGTCCCGCGTAAAACCAGAAGTCAACGTTGACTTATTTGTCATGTAACTTCTGCATATAAATAACAACACTTCCATAGATATTTTAACTCAAATCAGAATCTTTTCCTAACCCTAAACCTAACCAAGTAGTTCTGTAGCTCAAACACAGCAGGGGCTCATTTTGTAGGAAAACGCATGAAAAAAACCAACAACTACTTTTTGAAAGATATCATGTGTGTGGATGCATTGAAAATGTAGCTTCATTCAAGACAAAACAGTATGAGAGAGTCGAGAATCAGATCTGCTCTCTTCAGGCGTTTGCAAACCTACAAGAAACCACATTCACTTTATCCACAGCAGACAAGAAACCGGTCCGTGTAGATCCTCAAGTGGAACAAGTCCACAGCTACAAATACCACCTGATGCTCACAAAGGAACTAAGCTAATCATATACCTGTGTGTTGCCACTGTTTATCTAGAATTAATTATTTATTTTTGACTATCCTCATGTCAACAGATCAATAACTACATGAAAGATTGGATAAGATAAAAAAAAAAAACCCATCTATTCAGACCCCAGTCCCAAGAAGTCACAAACTAAATGTTAGAGGTCACAAGCTGATTAACAAGTTATCAAGAGTTTTTGAAAAATACCTTTCTCTTATTATTATTTCTTCTTGGAGATACTGGATAGTTTTACCTCGTTGTCTGTTCATGTTCATAGTGTTGACACATTGAAAACACATTATCATTTATCATATCTCTAAACTACAACACAGCAATGTTCCTTTTAGTCGAGGTGTCAGTGATGTTCTGCTGACTAGAGCGGATGAGGGTTCTTTGATTTCTCCTTTTGAAAGCATGAACAATGACAAGTCTTCATTTGAAGGCAGCATTATGCAGTAAGCCTACGTGGTCATAGTGTTGAGTGACACATGAAAAACAAATATGAATGACATTTCTTCATTGTTGGTAATTGCAATTTAATAAAATAAGTTCATGAAGCAAACAAACACCGAGGAGGTATTTCACTTGGACGTAAGGTGAATAATAAGGTTGACTGATTCCCATCACCATGAAACTCCCCCAGTTCATTACTAATATTAAAGCTTTTTAAGCATTTTTCCAGCTATGAATGACTGTGTACAAACCCCTCTGTGTTAACCTTCAGAGTATAGAGAGGAATGAAACAGGAACGTTTGGTGTATGTAAGTGGAGATTTCTGGATCAGAGTCTGAACAATCTTTCTCCGCTGGCCGCCTCTGATGAACACAGTCATACTGCACTATTAACACCATTCTGCACTAATTCCATTGCCATTGTTGTTCTTTATGTTCATTATACTCTTGAATATATATTTAAATTTTACATCGTAGTTAAATGTTTATTCTCACCTCTGTTCTACTTTGTTGTCCTTGTTTTTATTTTCTTTGTTTATTCGTATACGTATATTTGTGTATTTATGTTGAGAGCAACGTAAAAAATGAGTCAAATTCCTTGTATGCGTATAAAGGCCAATAAAGCTGATTCTGATTCTGAAAACAAACTCATTTAGAGAAAACAGCCTTTAAAGAGATGTTTTGTAAAATGACACATTTTGAAGACACTAAGGGGAATAGGGTAAAAACAATAATTAATAGATACCACCATGAAATGTACCCAGTTGACTATTTACATTCAGAGGATTATTTTTTGTAATACAAGTTTTCTGAAATATTGTGTTTAAATATGCAAATGAGGCATTATCTAATGGTAACTTTCGTTGAATTTAGGAGAAATCTACAGATAGAAATACAAATAGACAAAATGTGTATGTTTTTTTCCCACTACTCTGAAAGAATGTTATAGAATAGACCAAAATGTCAAAATTGAACAGTGCATGAAAAAACCAAGTTTTTACCTGTAGAGTCTCGCCTTAAAGCAACCACAGCAGAGAGAAGACAGCAACAACATACAAAAGAAAGAATTTCATTTGTTACTTTCTTGTTTGAGCATCTAGATTCTTTTAAATTAACTAAACAATAATTCAGCAGCTGTTTTCATTTCACATTTTTCTAGTTGTGTGTAAACAGTGAAATAGTTCAGTCCAATAAGTGTTCAGTTTCTCTTGTAATGAGCTTGAGATAGATTCCAGTTGCCTGTTCAACACATGATTGACAGGTTTGTCTTTCAGCTCTGGATGCATGGGGAACAAAAGAAAAGTGTATTTTGTTTCTAGAAATGAAATTGCTCCTTGCTCCTCTTCTCTGTATTTCTTCCCGTTATAAAAGACACACTATTGTTTGAGGATAATTGCAATTTTGTTAGTCTTATTTCATTGTTGAAAATCACGAAACACATTTGCAGTATCATTTATTTAATGTCTTGTCATCTGGCATTTAAATAGAATGACGAAAAATTTCCTATAATAGTAACTCCCCACTTTTGATTTAAAGTTTTTAATTATAGCGGACTGAAAATCAAGATACAAGTTTTATTTTATCTGTATTTTTTTACGATATTATAATACCTTTTTGTGTTCAATATTCATTTCCTTTATTGACTAAAATGCAGATAATATGAATCATAGTTTGATTACCTCAGCAGCTTATGTCCGAATGAAACATGTTTAATAATGTGCTGCCGGCTGATAAAACAAACACAAAGACGGAACCATGGGAGAAGGAGCTAAACATTGGGAGATATTGAAGAGCTGTTTCTGAAATTTATGATTTACGTTTTACACTAGACATGTGTTAATTACTATACAACTCTATTCACTCCTTCATTCCGAGGTGCAGGAGGGGTTATATTTAGATGTATTCCTGTTGTATTAGTGGGAGACAGAACAGTGAAGAGCTGACTCTAGAAGCATGTCTGTCTCCCACTAGAGGGAGCCATTTTAAAAGTCAGCTGAGTTGCTTCCCCATTAGGAGTCATTTATAGACCAGGTGCAGCTCATAAAAGCGCCTCGGCTCAAACAATTAACTTCATTTGCTTTGCTGATAAACATTCCCTGTGCATACCCCACAATGCAGCTTTTATTTCACTTCCAGCCGAGCACAAGCACGCTTCTAAACATATTCATGCGGGGACTAAATTCAAGGAGCAACACACAGCTTCAGTATCATTTAGCCCACTTTGCTAACATTTGTGGATAGAATAATTGCAGATTCCCACTTGTTAGAAAGTAAAGTGCACTGACTTGTTTAAATGTGTCAGCTGCTGATATGAGGAATGCCTCACGCTTCACATGAAGGTGACTGGCTCCGACGCAGAGCAGTGAAACCCATGGGTGGGCACTGTAAATAGTAGAGTGAAATCACCATGAAGGCTGCTTTGGGCGGTTGCTTGTCTGCATTGTGTCCCCTCCCTGTATAAGTAGAGGAGTTTTATGGGAGCTCATTTGTTTGGGACCCTCGGCCCTTCAGGGTCTCTCATTCCTCAGACAAGCCAGGCATTTCACAGCTCGGGCGAAGGGGGAGGAACGCCCCGACCGCCTTCTATAACTAACAACCACAGACACACCCAGGACGCCTTACTCCTGCTGCATGCAGCGTATGCAGGACTCTGGAACATCTCCATCGAATTGCCCCACGCTCATATGCAACTGTTTCGCTTTAGCAAAATATGTTCAAGCAATTCTGCCTCAATTGTGCTTTTCTAAAAGAGTATTTATATTGAAAGTAAACACTTGAGGGAAAATTATAGGGACTTGAGCAATAGAGCAAATGCATTTCCCATTATTCCGTTAGGGGGAACATATATGAAGGTATATTTGTGTCTTCATTACGCAAACAAAAAAAAATGTTTTAAAAGCAAATTTCTCGCACTGCAATCAAAAATCAAGTTTGTAAGTGAAAATATATAAACTGAGAATAATTTATTTGTTAGTTTTGCTTATGAAACTAGAATTTTTGGTTAAAAAAATAAAATCTTTGGTTAAAAAATAATATCTTAACAAAACGAAAAGCTGAGTTGAGTTTTTTGTTTGCGTAATAAAGACACAAATATACCTTCATGGGCGGGGCATACGCTGCTGAATGTGCCGGGAGTTTCTATTGGTCGGTTTGACTTGGCTCTCGGTATCTGCATCCATCAAACACGGACGGGAGGTTACGGTGACATGGAGGTAAATTGACATTATACTGCTCTGTTTTGTCAAAATGATTTTAAATGTAGCAGCACTTCACTTTGTTTTCATGTTGTTAGTGTCTCTTTTTTTAAAGAACGACATGGAGGGCTGCTGTGTTGACATGAAGCTCCGCTTTCTCGGTCGGAGAAAACTAAGCTCATAGGATTTATTTTAAATTGTGTCATACATGCGCAGCTAACCTTAGCTGCGCATGTATAACATTATATATATATACGTTATCTATATATAACGTTAGCCCACAGTGTAGCTGACAAGCTAACTAACGTTAGCGGTAGCTCGTCTGCCTGTATCCGACCGTAGTTAAGCCTTGTAAAGTAACTTTTTTTGCCTTCACTTTCAAACTTCAGAGGTTGAATCATATCTTACTGAGATTGTGACGATTTTACAGATCATTTATACTTCATATTATGTCCTTAAACGGACCAACAGGAGCTCAGGTTGTGAACCTGAAATATCACTGCCAGTCCGGTAACGTTACAAACGAGATTAATTACAAGGATAAACTGAATTTGAGTATTTTGCACCTTTTGTTTTGTGGTGTGAAATAAAACTAACTACATTTTGTTTTGTTTTAGGGAGCCAGGAGCAAACGGCTCAGTTCATCAAGCTGAGGGGGAAGAACGACGGCCTCTTCACCAGGGACAAACATTCAGCAACCGTAGCTTTGGATTAAGACATTAGTCCATTTGTAATATCTCCATCTGACCATCCTGTACTTAAGGTTACAGTTACATTAGCTCTACTCCTATATAAAGCCTTTACTAATAGGACAACCAGTAGAGAGGACAATACACTTCTGATGTGTTATTGTGATGTCACCTTTTTCTTTCTTTTATTGAAATTGAAATAAGACATCCATGTAAATGATTTCTATGTGAATATGTATATATTCTGCTGTGTAAAATTTGTCAATCTTCTAAGTTTGCATCCATGTGTTAACATTATTGATAAATGTTTCTCTGTTCATCATTTTCTCAATGTGATTTGGACAATTTTGGCAGTCACCCTCCCAACTGCAAGTTAATAAACACATTTGCTGATATTTGTTTTGCTGCTGTTGTTTTTGTTAACTGTCCTCTGCCTTAGGATTGCAAGTATCCAGGCTCTTTTCTCTACTAGAAAGATTGAGAAATAAATAAATATATATGTATATATACATGTATGTATATATATGTATAATTAATATGATTATTAATTTAGAAATACTACTTTCAGAAAAATAACTATGAATGAATTATTGAATATATGATTGAAAAACAGATTAAAACTAAAACCTTTACAGTTTATATATATATATATCTGTATATACAGTATAATCCTGAGCAGGCATTCTAGGCACGGGAGCAGCAAGGGGTTGGGGGGGGGGGGCAGCTGGTGACACAAACAGGAAGTCCTCTGTAGCATAGGCCGTCTCATTTCGGAGACCACTCGGTCCAGCCTTCGTGGTCCTCAAAGGACACGGCCGACGTGGACCGCGAAGGCTGGGTCTCCCGAAGGATGCAGTTGCTGGATTGGGACACGGGCAGTGTTTACAGTGGAAGCAGATACCGAGAGCCAAGTCAAACCGACCAATAGAAACTCCCGGCACATTCAGCAGCGTATGCCCCGCCCATGAAGGTCTATTTGTGTCTTTATTACGCAAACAAAAAACTCAACTCAGCTTTTCGTTTTGAAACCAAAGCTTTTTTTTTTAATCAAAGATTGTTTTGTTTTTTTTAACCAAAGATATTATTTTTTTAACCAAAGATATTATTTTTTTAACCAAAGATTTTATTTTTTTAACCAAAAATTCTAGTTTCATAAGCAAAACTAACAAATAAATTATTCTCAGTTTATATATTTTCACTTACAAACTTGATTTTTGATTGCAGTGCGAGAAATTTGCTTTTAAAACTTTTTTGTTTTGTTTGCGTAATAAAGACACAAATATACCTTCATAAACATAGTTTATAGTTTATATTTAGAAATAAATGTATCATCACATCGTCGATGCAATCAGGTGAATATATTGAAGCTGACCATATCAATTATCATTTTACTATTTTCTGCAACTGACAAAAGGAAGTAATAAAAAAAATTACACATTTTCACTACTTTTGAAGTTGGTTCAGCAATCATGTCTTCCAACAATTACGCTCCTGTACAAATAAACTGCATTTGCACTTTTTCATTTTCAAGGAAGACATATTTTCTCCCAGATTACGGTTGCAGTTTTACGTGGTTAATGTTGCAAATTGAAGAAAATGCAACAACATGAATTGGTTATGTTTAGTAAAACAGTAAAACAACACTCTAAAAATTGCTGTTAATTTACAGCCAATGTTCAAAACTAATCTACTGTATTTATGTAATACGGTTTTGTACTTTAGTGAGCAATGCATTGTGGGCTGGCCCATTTGAAGCAACAGCATAGAGGCCCTAAACCAGTGGTTCTCAACTGGTCTGGCTGCGGGACCCAACATCACCCCTTAATGACAAGCCGTGACCCATGACCCAAATTATATATATATATATATATATATATATATATATATATATATAATTTGGGTATATCTATATTCATGAAGTCTAGTAGTAGTAACGTCTCTGTGTAGTAAACAACTGACAAATCAAATAAAGAAAGTACACATCAATTATATTTTAACAATTATTATTCTCAGTTTTTAAATGTAACTGGATGGATTTTAAATGTTCTTCTCATTTCAAGTAAAATAACAGCTGGATTAAAAAATAAATTACATAACAAAATTCATTTTAGCAAAATTATTTTCACTGAATTGCCCTGCAGCTTTAAATTCAGTTCATTCAGGGTGAAGTGATGAAGCCACAATATTATATTTTTCTCATCTTCTTAAAAGAGAAATTAGTGTTGGAAGAATTCACCTCTATGAATCTGTCCAGTCAGAGTCTAATGACTCTGGTCTCTCTGGACATTCTTCTCTTTTGGATATCGTCCTATGATTTGACTTTTTCAACTGATATTTCAACAGTCCCGCTCTGCTCTCTATATCCTCGTCTCTTCCCGTGTGTCAGGGTGTGTGTACATCTCACTCAAGTCAGGAAACTTGTCAGAATACTCATATTTGATTGGCTGAGCTGCATCACGTGATGTGATTCACAACGCATTGGTCAGTGTTTTTCTTGCACTGCTGAACAAGTGCCATAAATGCTGGAATAACTCCGCTGCATAAAAAATGCCCTTCAAAATAAAATCACAACTTTTTTGACAGGCAAAGGACCGCGACCCACTGAAAACGGGTCCGTGACCCACTTTTGGGTCGCAACCCATCAGTTGAGAATCACTGCCCTAAACAGTATCCTAATGTTTTAAATACAGTACACTACAGTATTTTTGGTAAATTTGTGTTGCATAGAGAATACTGGCGTTCGTAAAGAGACTTTTTCAGAAATGTCATTTAGAAAGCAGTTTTTCCAGAAGAGGATGCACTTCAGAGGACATGTGCTACACATCAACAAGAAGTCCTGCTGCATCTGCATCGATCCGGCTGTGCATCTACAAATTAGCCGATAATTTAAAACTATTTTATTTTCCACTCAGCTAGCTGGAGCGCGGAGTCCGGTATCGATCCACAGAGCCAGGTCTCAGTAAAACACAAAACGGAGGATGAAGACAAGTCTCTGTCTTTCCCCACCAGTAGCTGAAGTTCGTCCAGTTTTTTGCACAGTGAACGAACGTTGGAGAGAAATATCCCCGGCAGCAGTGTGTGAAATCCCCATGTCCGAAGACGCACAAGCGCACCGGCGCGTTTACCTCTCCGTCGGCATTTCACTGCATTCGTTAAGCAGAAAACAGTATTTACAACAAAAACAACACAAAACAATGAGCACCAACACACCGAGTAGACAGTGCGAACATTGATACAGGTGGTAAAGAAACGCAGCCAGTAATTATACTGGGCTCCTTCTTGACATATATTAGCCTAAATAACATGACACCTTGTGTTAGGAAACCAAATATACCCATTTAAGACTACATAGTGTTCCTAATAGTTTTTCATTCAGTCTCTGATATTAGACTATTGTGATTTTAGACACTTCGTTGGTATTAATCCAGAGAGAGGAACAAAGACCATACGGGACAAGGTTGTCTCCAAGAAGATGGGTGTGATCTTCCAGAAGAAGTCTACCACCATCAATACACACGTCTCCACACTACTGAAGAACCTCCTTGACTTTGAATGGGACTTCATATAGGTCAGTGAACTCTCTCTTGTCTCTCTCTCTCTCACTCCATTTGTTGTTTTCAAGAGACTTTGGTATTGTCAGCTTTAAAATCATTGATTTTACATTGTTATTGTACATTCACGACTCTAGAGTTATTTTGATTAAATATTATGTTTGTTGCTGTTTTACAGTGGCAACCCTGGAATAAATCTATGGAGACGAACAATAACCAGCAAGGTGATAGTCATCTCTACCTGACCCAGAAGATTCCTCATTGAATTAGGACTGTCCACAACCACCCAGACTCTTCCTCATGCAACTGCCTCACAGGAGTCCTTTAAGATGCAAAACACGAGCCTATCTCACAGGACTCTTTTAAGAGGTAGAATTAGTGCTGGGCGGTGACCAAAAATGTGTATCACGGTATTTTGTAAGATTCTGGCGGTTTCACGGTATATCACGTTTTTTTTTTTTCCCGTTAACGCATTAATTAATTAATGCCGAAAACTAACACAAGAACCAGCCAGCAAGCAGTGAACAGCTGTTTGTGTGGCGTGTCTTCCGTCACTTCCTGTTTCCTTCACCTACATTCCGCTGGGTCCTAAGTCCCTCCAAGTACAGCTTCTTATCACCCTCTATGTACCAATGTACATTTATAACAAATACACGGTAATCAGCATTGCATATGTGTCTGACCAAAATACCCCAAAAAGCATCCGAGGACCGTAATCGCATACACTCTTCGTATAGTAACACATGTTTTCGGCTGAGGCGTAAATTGCTAGTGTTGCCACGAGAGGCAATAGCAGTGGCTCGACAAACATTACAATATATCGTCTTTTGATCTTTGGATTTTTTAAAACCAAAAAACCTCCAACAGCCCAAAGACACAGCTCCTCTGACACAGCTCCTCAGTCTCTCTCTGTTCATTACATTACATTACGTTACAGTCATTTAGCAGACACTTTTATCCAAAGCGACTTAAAATAAGTGTATTCAACATCGGTTTTCGAGAGAACTAGTCACCAGAAGTAATAAGTGCATGTCCTTTCCTCAAACAAGCATCTAAGAGCATAAACCAGAGCCAACGTACAGTGCAGAAAGAAACGAATGCAATAAGTGCCACAAACTAATATAAAAATAATAAGGGCAATAAGCTAGTATGAATACAATAGATGCTAAGTAAGTGCTAAGCGGAAGGGTAGGCCTTCTTGAAGAGGTGAGTTTTCAGCCTGCGCCGAAAGATGGGCAGCGACTCTGCCGTCCTGACGTCAGTGGGGAGTTCATTCCACCACTGTGGGGCCAGGACGGAAAACAGCCGCGACCGGGTCGATCGGCTCTTAGCCGCATAATTTTTGCATTAGGCTACAGTTGCTTCACAAAATCTGTAAATGGTTCTTGTTCAACAACACAGAATGGCTGGAGCCCTTGGACCACATACTTCACGACAGCTTTGTCAATGGACCTCTGAGACACAGTCAAGGTGTTCACTAATGTGGTCTGCTTGCTGGTGGAGGGAGCCTCAGGAGCCCTTTTTCTCTTTGTTGATGTCAGCTCTCCATATTTTTTAAGGTGGTGTACATGCTTTCTCTGAAA